TGAATAACATTTAATAAATCGAAAAGGAAAAGGTTAATCTAAGACGCGTACCAAAGTTTAAAGGTGACCTAAAAAACTTAAAACATTCTCAGTTCACTTGGTTATTAATATGGTTAGTTACGGCCAGAAGACTTTGTTTCTTTTATGCATTTTCGGAAATAAATGAGTGGACCTAAATTACCAAATAAACAAATGAAAGAGCATATAATAGGATGTATTTAGTTGGCAAGAACCGATTGGAATGTTTTGGCATATCCTGGCACATGCAATTCTTTGTACCAATAATATTGACCAGATAGAGTAGTCAGCTAAATAACGGATGATATAACTGGGTCTAAACTAAGAAAGACTGATCCTTTCGCTTGAATGCTTATATATACGGTTTACTTTTTGCCGCGGTCACTGACATACTTTGTATTAACTGGGATATTTGTTGCCTGACGGACCGGATAAAACCGGATTAGAAGAGTCTCTCCTGCAAGTGAGGTATGACGATCTGCATAGATTAAAGCTGGCGGTCGTTGAACTCTTCTTTATAAGTTAACGGGACCCAATATTCCAGTTGAATAGATTAACTCTCAAGAACTGGCTCCAAACACAATCTCGTCATCATTTTGAGGAACTAATTTAATTACCTTATGAAATATATAGATTTAGACTTTTGAATATGTGTGGATCAATGAGCAAATACATTCAAATACTGTGTTAATAATTTCAACGGTCTGTAAGGTGTGCTCCAATTAGAATCACGTTATTAAGACGAAGGATCCTGGGAAAAAAAGGTGAAATTATTTATTTTTATATCAACCACACAGTTCATATACAACAAATTTTAACATACCATACTTCGCTATATTCTGAAATAAACAAGAGCATTATATTTTTCTCCAAATAGAAAATCATCATACTTTTTTAAAAAAAAGTTTGCTTTTCTGTGTTTAAATCTAAAACATATTCTACCCGTGCTATGTATTGTTCTGTTCATACCATTCCATGTGTGTGTGTGTGTATGTGTGTGTGTGTGTGTTTGTTGGGGAGAGGCGTGTGCTCACTATTCATCGTTCCATCCGTGCCACTCTGTGTGCATGCTTGTGTCTCTGTGTCTCTTTGCATTCTGTTTATTTTTCTACCCAATCTGCTGTGTGTTTGTATCTCTGCAAGAGCGCCCACATGACATTTTGCAAAGGGAAGTGGGCAATATTTTTTGCAGGTGGAGGGCAGTCAATCACGGTCGTAGAGTTAGTATAGTAAGCAGTCAAGCTAATATTTACTAAGAGTTTTGAACAGAATCTTGTGACATATTTTCAACTTTACCTGCATGATTAAACTTGTTGGAATATATATATATATATATATATATATATATATATATATATATATATATATATATATATATATATATATATATATATATATATATATATATATATCGCGCTGGATCCCAACTATTCTAAACTGCATCCAGTTTTCTTTAACACCGAATTTTTTTCTTTAGAATTATCAAGAAGGGAAAGGACAATGTGAGCATTATTTAGTGTCAATAAGACCTCAAAACAAGAAAACTTCATATGTAAAGCTTTGCTTGAAATCTAGAGGAGCGTAACTTCTTTTGTTATAAACTTTTTTCACTTGTAAAGTTCAATGAACGATATTCTTTACATTTCGTTTATTATAGCTATCCCAAAATGTGTACCTTTTTTAACTCATTAATGTCTTTACCGTTTTATAAAATTTGTATATTTGGCTGGCGGATAAACATTAAATTTATGCATACTTACCTTTGCACCCTTAAGAAAAACGGAAATTGCTTTATGGGCGCAGTCAACGACATCTGTTATTAATTTCCGTTTCTTTGCATGTGTATAAGTAATTTATTATACGTTAGCCTCGTTCTGCCATTTTTCTTTTCTCAGCATACTAATCTGCTATATGGAAGACTGTTGAGAAGGAGAAAATTACGTTTTATACACCTGTGCTGGAAATATTTTAATCACCGCAAAGTATCATATTTTGTGCAAAAGGTATTAGATATAGTAAAATTATAGGGATTATATGTATTTTCTCGCTCCTTCTGTTAAGCTCTGTATTCATATATTACTTAATTTTATTCATATTTCAGTACAGTTACGCAAGAGCAATGGTATGCCATGTCGTCACGCATTCTCTAAAATAATGTAATTCCACATGAGCAGATACACGTCAGAAAAATCATAAATAAAGATACAGTTATGAATGACGAATGCCACTTGTGAAATTGCAAACCGTGGCTTATACGTCATTGTGTGGGAATTATTTTGGAAAAAAGAATGGAAGTTTTAGCACTCCGACTTAGTTTCTACCTTCATGATCATAGTATGAAGTTGATTTCAGATTCAAATGCCACACGTAAGTGATAATATGTATCAATGATATGCATATATCTTGAAAATTTAATGGACAGTTATTAAAGGAAAGTGCTAAAACAAAAGTGGCAGATTTTTTCGACATAATGGTTGAGGTAAATGTATCATGCTATGTTAATATTTTACCGGGTATGTGCTATTTGTAGGACACACGGTACTAAATATATGGAGGAACTGTGAACCAGTCTAGAAATAATAGAGTATATACGAGTTTGGTGGTCCATAATTGGTTAAAAATGAAAAGTAAAATTTTATTAAAAATATCTTTTGAAAGCTTATCCTATGTGTAATTTTTAAAAAATATATAGACAAATTTCTATTGATGCAATTTTAGTATTTTTAAAGACTTGACTTAGGATTACTCAATAATGAAAGTAGCACTTGATTCTCTCGGTGTAGAATCAATAACATGTGCTTCATGCACATGTAGGTAAAAAAAATGCGCAGCTCATATGGTGTTATCCACACAGAAGCTTTCACCAAGGATAGTTGTGCATGGAGAAATATAGGTCTGATCATCAGTACCCAGAAATTTTAAGTTATTGAATTTTAAATATGATGGTGTTTCCATATGTTTACTCTGGGAGTTGAATTAGTACCGTGACTCCTGTATCTTCAGCGGTCCTGTAAAATGGAGTAGTCTGGTTCCCTGGTTAGAATGCTCCCTGCGTTGCACTTAGCGGAGTGCAACGCAGGAAGCATACTTAGCAGGGGACCAGACTATAAAATGGAAATATTTATAATTTACTGCTACTTTGTGCCTTTCGACTGGTATGCTATTTTTATTTTTGTGCTACTAACTTGACGTCCTCAAAGCAGTGTATCAACAATTATCTTGATAGCTAGAATGCTATTTGTCGAAGCAGTATAGCCTCTCAATCAGCAGTGCAATATAATGCTTCTCGGCAATGCAGCAAAAACTTATTCAGCAATGCCGCAGAAAATGTTATTTAGCAGTGCAGATTGTAGAAACAGCTATTCACCAATGGAAATAACTAATAAGATACTATTCACCAGCCTAATGAGCAATTTACAATTCGGAACAGTTTCTATATAAAACGTGGATTTGCTACCTGAGATTATTTGTTTAATTTCATTAAATATTCACTGAATTAAAAATCTGTTAATTTCTTATTAAAATCGATAAGGAAAATAATACGAGTGTCGAATAGAAAAAAAAATAGAAGTGAGAATGAATAGCTTCAATTTCAGTATAAAAATAAACTGGGCCAGAATTCAAAATGGAGGTTGCAATTTTAATCTAAAACTGCGTTATTTTTTTACACCCAAAAGCTCCAGGGCTAGCCATTTTAGAACAACAACCATATGAGACCCCTAATGCCATCGTTCCTTTATAGATGAATGCAGGGTGGCACTTACCTGCTTTTATAAAAGCGTGTTGTAAACAAATTAGCCGCTGACTCAGTCTTCTAATGTACGAAAAACGCATCATATTTATAAAATAAAAATATGGATATATTTTTTCACTTAATACAATTTCTTACATCATAAAGAAAATTATTTTCACACGTAAATATTCAATCAAGTGAACGAAGAAAATACAATGAGTTTATTTTGTCTGCCATCAATGCAAACTTTTTACATCTCAAACATAGATATCTTTTTTTCGCATAGTACAATCCGTTACATTATTTTCACACTGAAGTGTATATTAAAATATTCAGTCAAGTGAAAGAAGAACGAGTTGTTTTGTTTACAATCAATGCTTACTTCTTACATTGCATGACTTATTTCATATACAATTCTGATCATTCTGAAAAGAGAGGCGATCGCACGTGCACAATATCCTGGTCTTTATTTAAGATGGGATTGACTCGTCCACTATTTGCGATATCATCGTTAATTCGGAATGTTTCTGACTAAAAAAACAAACAACCAAAACATGCGAATTAATATATATATTTATGATTAAATAACACTCAAAACAGGTATTGCTACATCCATCTTTCCGATCAATGAGCCAGCAAAGTGTAACAGCTATCGGCTGTAAACGTGACATTCTGCACTCGTGTTATCGATCTGCGGGTGATGTTAATATATCAAAAGCATTTATTACACGAGAAACTAGGTACTAAATATCACTTGTTCCAATTTGAGGACACTACCTTTCTTAGAAGCAATGATGCGAAAAATGTTGTTTCATTGAAACCATAACTAAAGCCTAAATTCCAATTTTGCCATACATACCTGCTATGTATTATTCTACCCATGCCATTCACTGCTATGTATGTATGTATGTATGTATGTATGTATGTATGTATGTATGTATGTATGTATGTATGTATGTATGTAGGTATGTATGTATGTATGGTATGTATGTATGTATGTATGTATGTATGTATGTATGTATGTATGTATGTATGTATGTATGTATGTATATATATATATATATATATATATATATATATATATATATATATATATATATTTATATATATATATATATATATATATATATATATATATATATATATATATATATATTGCATTATTCCTGTTTTCAAGATTTTTTTACCGTTATTACTTGTATTACATCTCAATGAACTAAAGGTGACTGTTGAAATTTGCACAAAAGTGGACCGCTCCGGTGACTTAGTGGTTAGAGCGTCCGCCTCGGATTCGGAAGGTCGCGGGTTAAAACCCCAGGCTGAGTCATACCATATATTTATATAAATGGTACTGATAGCTGCTTCGCTAGGTGCTCAGTAATAAGAGGTGAGTGTTAGGACTGATTGGCCTGGTGTCAGGATAATGAGACTCTGTGGGACATAATGCTACATTTTTGCCTTATAATGCCCAAGAGCTAGACATCGTTATCAACTGCTACACTGCAGACATCGTAGCTATAAAATCAACACACACACACACATACACACACACAAACAAACACACACACACAAGTTAATTTAGGTTCTTTGAAAATACGTCACGATTAAATTAGCGATGAAAGATAAACAGTCTTAGATATTTTATTTAATTTTCACAGACAATAGTGCCAATATCTTGCTTATAATCGGAGTTTTGTTTCTTTACAAGCAGTTTTGAATTGACTAACGTACCAAGGAATAATAAGCTACATCATATCTGAAACAATCGTAAATGTCACATCCAAATCGAACACGAAACTTATGTTTAAATTGTCTAAATCAGCTCGAATAGGTGTGGTCCTAAAAAGCCCGGTCTAAATCAGCTCAGTCTCATTAAAACCAGCTCTCCACTGTCCTATGTGAAGATCGGACAGCGACCACTTAGGAGTTAAGTTCTAGTGAATATCGAATTAGCCAATGGAAATGGAGCTTTCATAAATCTGAAAGTTAATAAAATTGTTCGGCAGACACTGATACTCTTCAGCCATACTTTTCCGTTTGCAAAACGCGAAGAAATAAGACTTATTGTGATTGATAGACAAAATTGGCCATTATGGTAATAACAAAACCTGCCTGAACATGATCCTTAACCGATCGCTGTAAATTCTTCATGTAGAACAACGGTGATTTGACTTCAATCAGATTGGAATCAACCTGCTCCTTATATGACGATGTACCCTCCAAAATATGTTACATCACAAAAGTGATGCCAAACCAAATTAAGTATAAAAATAATAATACCATTTTATAATCTGATCACTTCGTATAACACCTACATATATTTAGAAAACTAATTGTTTTTGAGCTCAGTTTATGCTGTACTGTCATCTTTGTCAGTTTTGCTTACATTTTGCGTATGGATCCGAGGGTGGCCGAGTGGTCAAGAACGTTTGACCTATCGATCACTGCCATCTCACATCCATCGGCGTGGGTTCTGCTCTCGGGCATGGCATATGTGGGTATGCAAAAAAAATCCCAACAAAATAAAACAACCAAACTTGCCAATAGCTTTCCGTGGTCAATGGTTCATCCAGTATTCATCTTTCAGCAATATTACTGGCCGGCCAAGGATAGCCTATAGTGTGCTGGGGAAAAAATGGCTTTATACTCACAACAATATTTTCCGTATGCATGTGGCGGCGAAAGTTACCATTTTTGCAAACATTGGTGACCTTTAAAACATTCTCAATACAATAAAACAATATATAAATTCAGGAGTTTCATGTTTTTCTTGTAAAACCATTTCCAAAATGTTTAAAAAGCAATATAAATGGGCGTATATGGTCCATTACATCGTTTTGCTGCTTTGTGAATAATTGAGTCGATGGTTTTTTTTTTCTCTAAAAATCCTCACGTTGTATCATATTAGAGGCTGTACATGTTTTCAATCTTTCAAGGCTTCTTCACTTAACATTTTGTTTTCGACTCGGTACTGAAATACATCAGAACTTAGTACGTTATGTGACCGGTACCGGAAGAAGATGATGATGAAGAAGAAGAATATGTTGTCTCTATAAAGACGAATATAAATCGCAAAGGAAAAATTACTTTATCAAGAAATGCATAATTCTGAGGTGTGGTGGTGTTTATAATTTTTAACGTTGCTTTAACAATTTTTCAGTCATATCGCTACGATATGTGCAGTGTGCCAGTTTATAATGATGTCTAACACTGGGGCATCATGCCGCAGACATGTAGCATGATGTCCCACCCAGTCACATTATATTGACACCAGACCGACCAGTCAGAACACTAACCTCTTAATGCTGAGCGTCAAGAGAGGCAGCTGTTAGTACCATAATTCTGATATACTTATGATCTCAAGCGAAATTATATATTTCTTGTCCTTATGCAAGAGCCAGTCAAACGAATGCAATACAGAGAAAGCTGTTCAAATTATTGTCGAGCGGAAGTGCTAGAAAATATACGAGACATCAAATTATTATTCCAAGAATATGTATGCTTGCCGTTACACGGGACCATGTATCGATATGCGTGTGTATAGTATTTTGAAAGGATTAGTGAGCATATCTGATCTAATGTTGGCACTATGCTACCAAACCAACGGAATATTTCAAATGTTAGAGAAAAGATTATATCGCTGTTTACCTTAAATGGGTCATACAGTGGGCGCAATCCCACCTACGCTTCGATAGGTTTACCCGAACACTCAATTTTCAACCTATCAGCCTTTTCTTTCACGCTCGTTGCTTAACAGTGGAACATATTGTCTTTCGGACTCTCGTTGGTGTGAAATGTATTTGCCAGTGACGCCTCAGATATGGTAGTGTACACATCATTGATGGCATTATGCATCAACAATGAATTTGTGTCCGTGTACAGCATCATACTGGTATAGTGAGAGAGTTTTCGGACAGTCTTGTGGTAGCCCCATGGTGTCCGTGTACAACATCATAATGGTATGGTAAGAGTGTTTTCAGACAATCATGTGGTTGCCCCTTGATGTCCGTTTACAGCATCATAATGGTATGGTGCGAGTGTCTTCGGACAGTCTTGTGGTAGCCCCATGGTGTCCGTGTACGGCATCATAATGGTATGGTGTGAGTGTTTTCGGACAGTCTTGTGGTAGCCCCATGGTGCCCATATACAGCATCATATTGGTATGGTGAGAGTGTTTTCAGACAATCTTGTGGTTGCCCCTTGAATTCCGTTTACAGCATCATAATGGTACGAGTGTTTTCAGACAATCTTGTGGTTGCCCCTTGATGTCCGTTTACAGCATCATAATGGTATGGTGCGAGTGTTTTCGGACAGTCTTGTGGTAGCCCCATGGTGTCCGTGTACAGCATCATAATGGTATGGTACGAGTGTTTTCAGACAATCTTGTGGTTGCCCCTTGAATTCCGTTTACAGCATCATAATGGTACGAGTGTTTTCAGACAATCTTGTGGTTTCCACTTGATGTCCGTTTACAGCATCATAATGGTAGGTGCGAGTGTTTTCGGACAGTCTTGTGGTAGCCTCATGGTGACCGTTTACAGCATCATAATGGTATGGTGCGAGTGTTTTCGGACAGTCTTGTGGTAGCCCCATGGTGTCCGTTTACAGCATCATAATGGTATGGTGCGAGTGTTTTCGGACAGTCTTGTGGTAGCCCAATGGTGTCCGTTTACAGCATCATACTGGTATGGTGAGAGTGTTTTCGGACAGTCTTGTGGTATCCCCATGGTGTCCGTGTACAGCATCATAATGGTATTTTTTGTTTTTAATATTTGTAAAAGTAATAAGCGATTGAAATCTTAAGGATGCACACATTATGGTCAAAAAGTATTGGTTGAGTGACTTGGTGTTAGGTAATTAACCGACAATCTAACATTTTTCTGCTAAATGGCTTGTCAAATAGTCAAATGCAGGAATAGGTTGCAGATGTGCCTTAAATATCTCCTGGTTGTGATTTTTTACCCTATGACATGTGTGACAAAGATATATGGTACTTAGAATATCAATCTTATTTTTCGGTCTTTTTCTGAGGATTAATTTTTGAAACAGAAACTAAGGTTACAACTTGACTGTTTTTAAGACATAATTTACAAATGAAAGTAGAATAGAAAAGGAAATATGTCTCGGCCAATCCAGAAATTACAGCTTTATTTCCTCAGAATTTGCAATTATGAGTGTATGTCCAATGCAAATTGTATGAAAAGCTTGTCTTTATTCATGTTTTTTCACGTGAAAGTGAACAAAGAAATTCTCAAAAAGATGTATAAGAACAATGTAAAGAGACAATCCAGGTAATTTGTTCCTTTTAATTGCCAACCTGTATGATAATTTTTTTAAAATTTATTTAGACTAATTCATCTAACTATATTGCTTTTATGAATGCCGATTTACATTAAAAATTTTGTTCTCTAACATTTCATATGAAATGATGAAAAGTTAAACACAATACTGTATATTTTTATTTATTTATTTTGCTTTATTGCATTGTTGTATTGTGCTGATATTTGAGTGACATGACAATATTAATTTATATTTTATACAGGATAAGATAATAATAAAAATCATAGACAAATAAAGATGTTTATGTGGTGGGGGTATAAATTTGTACAACACTCTGACCTGTGAGTTGATTTAAAACACTTTAGAAGTTGTTTTAAAAAAATTATGTGGGAATCTTACTCTTCTAAAAGATTCAATCACATTTATTTACAGATGATACATGTAAAAAAGATTAATTTTTAAAAAGAAAAACGACTACATTAATTTCTTATTCAAGTGTATCAAGCAAGTTTGTTACGGTATTGTTGCAGTAATATTAAAAACAAATTGAGCTGGTTACTGTTAGCTATATTACGTTATTTGTATTCAGTATATTATATTGTTTATATTTACTACCAAAAGAGTCTGATGGTTTTTAGTGATGTACTTTACTATCAATCATCTGTACTATAAATATCGCTTCATATATGAATGAACATGAATATTAATGACATTAATAAAGCATCTTTCAGTTTTATATATATGGAAATAAAGTATTTCATATTTGTATGGAAATGTTCTTTGTGTTTAGATATACAAACTATATTTCATATTGTTAGCATTTTTTTTTATATAATGAAATAAGTTCATATATTTTTTCCACGTAGCTATACTACACAAAATGATTTGTATTTAATGTCCTTGTTTCAGTCATTTGCCAATTGCTACTGTATTGGAATTGAAGATTTAAAATGAAATTGGAGATATGAAATACTTGCCACAGACAACTAGTGACAATACCTGCTGGCTATAGCATAATAATCATCCATTCCATACATATATAAGAAT